GGGGTGCCGCCCACCCCCCCCCCCCCCCCCCCCCCCCGCTGGGTGCTGTGGTGTCACCTGCAGGCTGGTACATCACCAGTGAGTCCTTGCAGAGCTGTAGAGACATAGTGGCTGGCAGGAGGAACCAGAGTGCACATCGGGGGAGGAGGCGAGCTCAGCCCAGGAAGCGTCGGATGTAGTCAGAGGCCAGTGCAGATCGGATACAGAGGGACGCCGGGACAGGAAAGTGTCATAACGCCTGTCTGTGAAGGTTCTCGTGTCTACAGGTCAAGGTCCTCGTGTCTACAGGTATACAGGTCATGGTCCTCGTGTCCACAGGTCACGGTCCTCATGTCTACGGGTCCTCAGGTATACAGGTCAAGGTCCTCGTGTCTACAGGTCACGGTCCTCGTGTCTACAGGTATACAGGTCATGGTCCTCGTGTCCACAGGTCACGGTCCTCATGTCTACGGGTCCTCAGGTATACAGGTCAAGGTCCTCGTGTCTACAGGTCACGGTCCTCGTGTCTACAGGTATACAGGTCATGGTCCTCGTGTCCACAGGTCAAGGTCCTCGTGTATACAGGTCATGGTCCTCGTGTCCACAGGTCATGGTCCTCATGTCTACAGGTCCTCAGGTATACAGGTCAAGGTCCTCGTGTCTACAGGTATACAGGTCATGGTCCTCGTGTCCACAGGTCACGGTCCTCGTGTCCACAGGTCACGGTCCTGTAATCATCAGGGTTGTGGCCCCCGGCAGGAATGGCGGATCCCTCCTCCCCCTACTGCACTCATTGGTCCGATCTGTCAGCGCTTACGTCACTACTGTGTACTGTACTGATATAGCGGCCCTCGGGAGGAGCCACACATTACAAAGCAGGATTACAGGTAGGGATCCACTGATACCAGTTTTTCGGTATCGAGCGCCGATATGTTTTTTTCCCGATCGCCGATACCGGAAGTCCCGTTAAGGAAGCCAGGCGGCGTGTAATGACTCGTTGCCCGGCTTCCTGATTGGTCGAGAAGCTGTCTTTACACTGCGCCTGGCTTCTTGATTTGGCCGGGAAGCCGGCTCCATGCTTCCTCGTCACCAGGTGACGGCTTACAAGAGCCCAAGGGAAGCAGGGGGGACTCAACGCTGAACCGAAGCACAGGGCCCAACACCCAACTGAATTATGATAGTAAATCTGCAGGTTTCATTAGAGCAATCCCTGGTGATCCCGCCATGGAGGTCCTTGCTCAGGTACTTCCTGCAACAACATTCCGTCCCTGTAACCCAATTGTGCTCCTGCGTTGTCACCCTGTCACTTGGGCTTCCGATGTAGACTACACGTGGCCTTTTTACCACAAATTACACCGACATGGTCCACTGTTGTCACCATCAGGAATCCTGTCCTGAGAAATGCCATGCAGAGATGTGGGGGGGGAAGGGGTGGGCTTGTAGTCTGCAGAGACAGCTGGGAACAGTGTAACTTATAAGGGGCACTTGAATTGTATTGTGATTGTAATGTCTTCCTTATATTGTAAAGCGCTGAGCAAACTGTCAGGAGCACAGGAAGTCATCAGCTCGCTGGATTTCTGGATCAGCAAGTATTTGTCTGCAGTTATCGAGCAGATATCACAAGACACTTTCAATGGTATATTTAGTGGAGCAGAAGGAAGCAAATAGGGGACATTGATGGTTGGGGTGTACATGCCCTTTAAATAAACTAAAATGCCGTCTCTGGTATGGCCACTAGATGGCGCCATTAAGACGCTCTCAGTATATAGTTTTGAATTACGTCTTGCGTTCCCACTGGGCAGATTTAAAATGCATTACCTGGGCGGCAGCCTGCGGGGGGACGCGGCAAAACAACGCTGTTTAGCACTAATTCTTTTTTTTACAGATAAATTGATCTAAGAAAATGAAAGACAATTTGTCATTATGTTGGAAATAACAACAAGATGACATTCCCGGAATCCAGGCGCGCCCCGGGGGGGTGTTCTGCACGTAGTCAAACCAAATGGTAATTTTTCCCCCTCCCCATTTGATGAATTAGGATGCGTTCTGTTTCCTGCGCGGCGGCAGAAGGTAAAAAAAAAAAAAATCTTTTGCCCTTTAAATTAAATCTGTATTTTCAGAGTCACATTCATTAAGGGGAAAGCGGGATCGGAGGAACGCGATAATGATATAATGGCGATGATAATGAAGTATTATTTTTAGTAACTGGCTAATAATAGAGATAAGAGAAGAGGGATTGTGCGGGTTGCGGCGTCGCCTTCTTGAATATTGCGGCTGTCGGTGAGGAGCGGCTAAGCCGGGTGAATGACAGAGTCAGAAAAGTAAACCTGACGCTAGTTCATCCGGATATAATCCTAAATAAATGACATTTCGTTTGCTTTCTACACAGCGTATCGTATTTTCACATCGTTAATTTAAAAAATCTTGTTTTTCCTCCTTGGTTCCACCTGATCTCCTGCAACCTCTTTGCAGCCATTTCCCATTTACATGGACTCCAGCCATGCATGACATCTCTCAGGGCAGGTTTCAGTGGTTCCAGTGGCGTCACAAGGGATGTGCGGCCCGCACCCGGGTGTCACTATTAGATGGGGTGACACCAAAATGACTTGACAGTCATTTTGGTGTCACCCCCTCTAAAACGTTGGGCACTCGGTCATGGACTGAAAGCCCGACAGGGTCAGGAGAGAGGAGGGGGCCGACGGCGTACCTCATCCCGCTGGGTGAACGTCCCCTCCTCTTTCTGCCGGCGTCCATCACGAAGATGGCCGCTGGCAGGTATCAATTAGATGGCCGCTGGCAGGTATCAATTAGATGGCCGCGCAAGACACGGCGGGGTGTCACTCGGTTTCCGCTCCGGGTGACACCCGGCCTCGGCATGCCCCTGAGTGGACCATGTCTGTGTAATGAAGGAAGTGCCTGGCAGGATCACCAGGGGTTATTTTAATGAAAGCTGCAGATGTATTTAGTTGTAGACACCCAAAAGAAGTCATCGAAGTACACAGAGCATGAGTAGGACACCCTATGTATCTGCCCTGCTGCAGATCCACCCTCGCTGCCAATTCCTGGCTGTCAAGAGGACAGTCGGGAGTTGCTGTTGTAAAGAAAAACCCGCTGTCACAGTGTTTATAAACATTGATCAGAGGGAGATATAGAGAGAAAGTAACATTGTTTATAATCATTGATCAGAGGGAGATAGAGAGATACAAATAAACATTGTTTATAAACATTGATCAGAGGGAGATAGAGAGATACAAAATAACATTGTTTATAAACATTGCTCAGAAGGAGATAGAGAGATACAAAGTAACATTGTTTATAAACATTGATCAGAGGGAGAGATACAAAGTAACATTGTTTATAAACATTGCTCAGAAGGAGATAGAGAGATACAAAGTAACATTGTTTATAAACATTGATCAGAGGGAGAGATAGAGAGATACAAAGTAACATTGTTTATAAACATTGCTCAGAGGGAGATAGAGAGATACAAAGTAACATTGTTTATAAACATTGATCAGAGGGAGATAGAGAGATACAAAGTAACATTGTTTATAAACATTGCTCAGAAGGAGATAGAGAGATACAAAGTAACATTGTTTATAAACATTGATCAGAGGGAGATAGAGAGATACAAAGTAACATTGTATATAAACATTGATCAGAGGGGGAGATAGAGAGATACAAAGTAACATTGACTGTAAATCAAACCTATTAAAGTGACACGAAACTCAGGAGTTAAATCTTAAAAATACATTCAGGTACCTTAACTCGGAACAGCAATGTATCTTATTTGTGTATCACTCGGCTGGAGATCCTCCAATCATCTCTGACTTGGTGGTGACACTGCCCTTCCTTCTGGAGGGGGGCTACGTCTGTTCCCCATGGCCCCTGTGTGTGTTGTAAAGTAGTCACTGCTCCGAGCTCGCTCCCGGGATGGACTACAATCTCAATACAAATTAGTAAACTAAACATGAGATTGTAGTCCATCCGGGGAGTGAGCTGGTATTTACTGTGTTGTCTAATATAAGCATGTTAGTTGACCCTGGATGATGGCAGAATAAAGATGGCGCCATCATGGTCTGTTGTAAAGCAGGAAGAATGGCCGTGCCTCTTTAGGGTCTCTGTGAAGGGCGCCCCTAAACCCGAGGTACCCACAGGATGCAAAATCGATTGTGGTGTTAGCATTTCCTGGCCCTGGTTTGCTTACAGCAGACACCCCGGGTCCAGGACAAGGAAGGGAAGCAATGACCATTATCGGGGCTGTCTCTGGCTTTTTCACTGGCGGCTGTAGGAGGGGGGGGCGGCGGTGCC